GAGGAAGATTCATCAGCAACCTGTGTTATGCAGATGATACAACCTTGGTAGCTTAAAGCGAAGAAGACCTGATGTGCTTGCTGCAGAAGATCAAAGACTTCAGCCTTCAATATAGATTATATCCCAACATCAAAAAAACAAAAAATCCTTACTACTGAGTCAAAGGCAAAATTATGACAGATGGAGAAAAGATAGAAATTGTCAATGATTTCATCTTATTTGGATCCACAACCAATACCCTTGGTAATAACAGTCAAGAAATTTTTAAAAAAATGTATTACAATGGGAGAATCTGCTGTCAAGGATTTCTCCATAGTTTTAATGAGCAATGATATCAGTTTAAAGACTGAGGTGTACTTGGGCCAATCAATAATCTTTTCAATTACTTAGTATGCATCTGAAGTTGGACAACAAATAAGGACAACAGAAGAATTCATATCTTTGAGTTGTGGTGTTTGAGACAAATACTGAATATCTCTTGGAGTGTGAAAAGAACAAACAGGTATGTCTTGCAGAAAGCATAACTTTTTTTTAACTATTATTTATTAACAAAGTTTGAATACATTGTTTTTCACAAAAGATTCTTCCCATTTCCTTCATGTCTCCACCCACTGAATTGTGCAACTCATGGTTAACACCCTCCTCCCATCCTCCCCCTCTATTTCCACCCTCCCCCCTGCCTTGGAGCCTCATACTCATTCTATAATATTAATTTTATACAGTATTTGTCCTTGTGGTACTGAGTTAGTTCACTCAGCATAAAGCTGTCCAGTCCCTCCCAAATTAGGTAGGAATTTACAAAATGATTACTCGTTTGTGCTGCATAGTGTTCCATTGTATGAATGTACCAATATTTCTCCATTTTTTTTTTTGTGCTTGGACATCTGGGTTGAGAAAGCACAACCCTTAATAAAGCAAAAGATCAGAAAAAAAGAAGAACCCTCTCAGTTTTATTCTACATAGATATTCTGTAAGCTAGAATCAAGGAACAGCCTGGTTTCACCCTCTCCAGGACAGACCTGTTTATTCTCTTGGCAGTCCATGGTATATTCAATACTCTTCTCCAGCATCACAACTCAAAGGTATTGACTCATCTATCATTCTTTGTCATTGTCCAACTCTTTTATGCATACCAAGTAATTGTGAAGGCCATGTCTTGGATCAGGTGCACTCTAGTCTCTAGACAGACATCGTTGCTCTTCAGTACTCCAGACTTTCCCAATGCAGTTCGTCTTTTGATTTCCTGAATGCTGGTGCCAAGAGTGCTGATTGTGAAACCAAGCAAGTCGAAATTATTAACAATCTCAATCTCTTAGCTATTATGATACTACCAGCTGGCCCAGTGCTGAGAATCTTTCTTTTCTTGATGTTGATATTGAAGACAGCAGTCCTTGACTTTCTGAAGCAAATACCTCAGATCTTCCTCAGTTTCAGCAAGCAAGGTTGTGCCATCTGCATAATGCAGGTTGTTGGTGAGCCTTCCTCCAATCCTGATGTCACATTCCTCTTCATAAAGTCTAGTTTCCTGAATGATCTGTTCTTCATACAGACTGAAAAAGGAGATAGGATGTCAATTTTGAACCATGTAGTATTGTGGGTCAAGGACTGCAGCCTTTCATATGGATTGAGGGTCAATGTCAAGAAGACAAAGATTCTCACCACTGGACCAATTGGCAGCATCAGGATAGGTGGTGAAGAAATTGAGATTGTTCACAGCTTTAGTTTGCTTGGCTCCACAGTCAACACTCTAGGCACCAGTAGCCAGGAAATTAAAAGATGTATTGTGATAGGAAAGTCTGCTGTTAGGGACCTTTCCAAAATTCTGAAGAGCAATGGTGTCTCTCTGGAAACTAAGGTGTGTCTGATACAGGCCATGGTCTTTGCAATCACTTGTTATGCATCAGAGAATTGGACATTGACTAGGAAAGATAGAAGAATTGATGCCTTTTAGCTGTGGTGTTGGAGAAGAGTATTGAGGGTACAATGGACTGCTAAGAAAAAAAAACAGATTAATCTTGAAGAGGGTTAAACCGGGCTGCTCCTTGGAGGCAAGGATTCTGAGTTTGTAAGGAGGGACCAGTCCTTGTAGAGGGACATCATGCTTGGGAGGGTGGAGGGACAGAGCAGGAGGGGAAGGCCCTCTATGAGGTGGATTGATTCAGTGACTGGGGTAATTGGGATGGGTGTGTCAGAGACAGTGCAATTGGTGCAAGACAGAGCAGAGTTTAGGACTGTTGTCCATAGGGTCGCTATGAGTCACAAGTGACTCGACAGCACATAACAACAACAACAACAACAACAGTGTTTCCTTGCTTTCTTCTGATGACTGCTTCCTGGTCCAAGTATAGATTTCACATAAGCACAATCAAATGTTTGGGGATTCCCATTCTTCTCAAGGATAGCCACAATTTGGTATGATCCACATGCACTGAAGGGTCAGCCCAGCAATTAATATTAGAAAAAAAAAATTCTGGGTGATTGTGAAGGGCTAGAAATTTCTTCTTAATACCTTACTGTATTCTCCAAATCTAAAGCAGTGCTTGTCACATTTTAGTGAGCATACAAATCCCATGGTGATCTTGTTAAAATTATTCCAAGTTAGATGGACTAGAATTTTGCAGATTCTTCATTTACAGGGTGATGTATGTTATCAGGAGGGACCAGTCCTTGGAAGAAGATATCATGCTGCAAATAGTGGTCATGGAAAGATAAAAAGACCCTCAAAGAGATGTGTTGATACAGTGACTGTCACAATAGGTTGAGCCTATCAGAGATGGTGAAGACGAGGCAGGATAGGCAAGGCTCTGATTGGCAGCGCACAGGTAGCTATGAGTCATCGTCAGCCAACCAGCAAATGACTGATGCTGATGCTTTCAATCCGAGGCCTACACTTTGAGTAGGGAAGTTTTAGAGTTGTTGTTGTTGTTGTTGTTGTTGTGTACAGTAGAGTTGTAACCAACCCATAGCTGACCCTCTGGCAGGTTTTCAGAGGCAGTTAATCTGGTGGCAATTGAGACTGCAGCACAGCTTCTTGCCCGTAGGCCACCAGAGCTCCCCTTGATCATGAATCTTAGTCGCTTAGAGAGGGGACTTGTTAAAGTAAAGATTGCTAGAGACCAGCCCCAAAGTTTCTTACTTAGTAGGTGTGAGGTGGAACCCAAGAAGCTTCATTTATAACTCTCTCAGACAATATTGATGCTCCAGGTCTGGGGAGCACACTTGGAGAACCATTCTTTTAAAACAGTCTTTTTCCTTAGTATCATAAAGGAAGAGAGGACTAAAAATGTCCATCTTCTCCATAACCTACAAAATAAATCCAAAGTCTCTATCCAAGTGTCTCTATGATCTCAGCCAATCATTTCTCTTGAAATGATTTCTTTTCAGGCAAAATCTAACCACTGAGCCATAAACACATCTGAGATTTCTCACTTCAATAGAACTTTTGCTCTATTTCTTCACTCTGGCTTATTTGTCACTTCTTTTCATTTCCTTTTATTTCTTTATGCCCAAATGATACGCACCCTTTAATGCCCTCAAATGCTATTCATGTCATAAAGCCTCCTGACCTACTTCAATCTAAAACTCAGATCTCCCTCTTTTACTTAGGGCTCCATAGCACCTTGCCCATTTCTCCTCAGTGATATTTGTCATTTCTTACCCATCAATGGGACAATTCAGAAACCTTGATAGTACAATGGTTTAAACACTGGGCTGCTTAGCAAAAGGATGGTGGTTTGAACCCACCAGCTCGTCCACAAGAGGAAGATGAGGCAGTCTGCTCCTGTAAGGATTTACAGCCTTAGAAACCCTATAAGGCAATTCTACTTAATCCTATAGTATCATTATGAGTCAGGATCACCTCAAAAGCAATGTTTGGTGCAGTGACTCTCTACAATCTACTGTGGTGGCCTGTGTGTTAGTTATCATGATGCTACAAGCTATACGATTAGTATTTAAAAAAACAGCAGCTTCACTCATGCAGGATAGGTTTCAGCAGAGTTTCCAGACTATGACGGACAAAGGACTGATGATCGGCTTCCCAAAGTTAGCCAATGAAACTGTATGGATACTGGGAAATAAGCCTCTAGGTTGAAAGGTGCAGCCAGACTATTACTCAGAATCCAGGATGGTGAGGCTTGGTCTTGCATATGTTGGGCATGTTATCAAGAGGGGTCAGTCCCTGGGCAATAGGAAGAAAATAGAAGGAAGAAAAACAGACGTAGACCCTCTACCAGAGGGATTGACCTGGTGACTTACAACAATGGTCTTAAGCAAGGAAGATATTGTCAAGAAGGCACAGAATCAGGCAGTTTTGTTCTGATATGCATAGGGTCACCACCAGTCAGAGCTCTTTAGAAAGCATCTTACAATAGCCTATAGTATGACTTACATCTCAACATAAAAAAAAACACAAAAAAACAACACCCAAATTCTCTCCATTGGGCCAATGAATGACATTATGATAGATGGAGAAAGGATTGAAATTGTCAATGATTTCCTCTCATTTGCATCAATTATCACCATCTTTGGTACTAGCAGTGAGGAAGTCAGGAGATGTATTACATTGAGCAAGCTGTCAGGGACCTCTCCAAAGTACTGAAGAGTAATTACGACAGTTTGAAGACTAAAGTGGGCCTGCTTGGGCTGTAGTTTTTCTAACCTCTTGCTATGCATCTGAAAGCTGGATAATTAATGACAGAAGAATAAGTGATGCTTTTGAGTGGCAATGTTGAAGAAGACTGCGGAATATTCCATTGAGTGTTCAAAGAACAAACAGGTATGTCTTGCAAAAAGTGCATCCAGAGTGTTCCTTGGACACAATGATGGTGAAGCTTGTCTCTCATACTTTGGACATGTTGCTAGGGGAGGCTATTCCTTGGAAAGGGATATCATACTTGGAAAGATGAAGGGTCACTGAAAGAAATGAAGACCCTCAGTGAGGTGGATTGACAGTGACTGCTGTAACAGGCTCAAGTGTGTCAGATGAGAAGGACGCACAGGATAGGACAGAGTTCATACGATTGTTGTTCTTAGGGTTGCTACGAGTCATACTCAATTGATGGTACCTAACAAAACAACAGGCCAGAAGATACTATGCAATACTCACAACAATGAACTCCAATATACCAATGATCATGAAGCTGGCACAGAAATCGTTTTTTTTTTGTAGTGGGTTTTTAAAATTACTTTTAATAAACATTTACTTTCCATTCATTCATTCATTCATTCATTATTACATTTTTCTTCCTGCCGCCCCCGCACCCCCAGTTCGTTCTTCTCTTTGGAAAGAAAAGAAAAATTCTTTTATTTTTATACAATCCCTTCCCCCAAATCCACTCTATTATGCTGCTTTCATTCTGGACTCCTATCATGATAATAATACCTAATCATAAATCCCTTTCCCCCCCATTCTTCTTAAAAATTCTTTATTATTATTATTATTATTATTATTATTATTATGATTATTTGTGTGTGTACCGGCAAATGGTATCTGACTGATACAGGAGGAGATTGTCCCTCCTTCTCCAGCAGAGCATCTGGTGGATTCTAACTGCGTTCCTCCGGGATTGCAGCACAGCTTCTTGGCACAGAAATCTTAAAGTTCAGACCTCTTACACTCCAAGACAGCGCTAGTTGGCCAGGCAACTAACAGAAATACAGGCTATATTCCAATTCATATTAACCCTGCAGGACAGAATTGAACCACTGGATTTCTAAAGAGGTAAATTTTGTTTGTTTGGCTTTTCGATGTCTAAATAGGCAAATTTTTAAAGCAGCAGGCAGCCTCATCTTTCTCCTTGAACTTAAACCCCTAGTCTTTCCATCTGCAGTCCAACGCTTGATCTGGTTTGGCTACCCAAGCTCCAGCAGACAGTTGACACTCAGGGTTGACTGAAACTAAGAATGAATGAAGGAATTAGCATTGAGGTAGAGCAGGAACTATGCTGCAAAGGGAAACTTGAACGCCTGCTGTCGAGGCCGATGAGCAACAGCAACAGGTGTTTTCCATCTCTGATGTGTGGGATTCATTCCATACAGTTGAGCACACACAGAGGTGTGAGCACACAGACTTCTGGGGCACAATGCCCTTACATGAACACACACCCCATATTCTAGGCTCTCAGCTGCCACACACGGAGACACACACCTCACCATGATCTGGGTCCACAAAAATAGAGGGCTGCACCCTTAACACATTAATACCATATTGCAAATACTGGGAAGAACAAGAAGCCGGATTGTGCCTGTCCATCCATTGCTCCCAACCCCATGTTTTTAAGAAATCTATTGTGGACATGTGTGGATGCTTTTGGTGCGCGAGCGTGCGCGCACAACCCTCCCCCTTTTACACACACACACACACACACACACACACACACACACACACACACATCCCTTCCCCCACTCTTGTCTTTCAGATTCAGCACGTCTCTCAGGCAGATTTGAATGGGAAAGAGCGCGGTAGTCTCTCTTTGTCATTAATACTCGCCTCCTTCGGGTGAGCCAAGCTCCTTCCGGGTCAGCGATAATCACCGCCACCCCAGTCGGCCCTCGGTCCCTCGAAGGGAAAGCCCAGAGCGCGAGGGCCGGGTCCCCACCGTCAGCAGGTTGCGGGGAGGGAGGAGGGCGGGGAAGAGGGCGGGCAGCGCGGGAGTGGGGGAGGGA